TGGCCCCCTGCAGCACTAGATGGCAGGAGGAGCCCGCTGACAGTGAAGTCAGCACAGGTGGTTGGAGCACACAAGCTGGTGGTCCAAAGTTGACATGTGCATCATTTGTTTGACTCTCTACAAACACTTGTGATGTTTGTGCAGCCCCTTCTTCTTTCACAACCGCCATCATCTGGACTCCTCCAGGCACTTTTCCCAGTGCCTTCACCCTTTGTGGGTTCCTCCGATATTGTAGCGCTAGCCAGGGGCACAGGACCAACTTGGCCACCAGCTTAGCATTACTAAACAGCCACTACTTATCAAACCCTGTTATATCTGGTACAATGGCTTCTCCAGCCTCTTCTTTGGTGGTCTATCCCTTTGTCAGGCCCTCTATGAATCTTCAGGGACCCTCAGACCCCAGATTTGTTGTCTCTAATGGCACACTTATATCCTCACCTTCCCGTCATGCCAATTTTCCTTATATTTATGAAGTACCAGATCATCCACTCATCCTACACCAGCAGTATGTCAAGAGAATTCTGGTTTACATTCAAGACACATCCAATGAAGCCCTCTGCTCTATGTACAGTTGGGAAAATAAATTATATGTGCCTCTTGGACCTGATAACCTTATGAAACGATACGGTATGCTCTAATTATGCTGTTATTTTTGTCTCAGTCATTAACACCTAATTGTCAGGACTATTTCGTATCACCGATGGCACTATTATATATGCTAGACCTATTGGAAACCTCGAATCTGAAAAGGATCTAATTGTTGCTTGGTGTTTTGATGGGTAAATTATGTTCTTTTCTTTTAAGAGATGATTCTGACACCATATGAGGCTACTCAACCAGACTCTCAGGGAGGACCTCCTCCATCTCCATGATGAGATTATGGGGGACAAAAGCCAGGTCACTCTGGACAGGCCTATTATGATCAATGGTGTATTGGTGGGAGGAACTGGCTTTGAACACCGGGGTATCGATCCTGGTGTGAAGGATTTACGATGCTTTGGTATAAGCATGTCGCACCAACATTCACCCACCATTGTGGGACCTGCAGCTAGTAGTAAAATCTATAATGGAGAGCTGACACCAAATGAAAAAATCCGTCAAAAAATTGCAAAGGTAAGATTTTGTGATTGTAAAAGAACACAAGTCTGAATTTGTTAAATCTATGGCAGCTATGTGCCACAGTCTCAATGATGTCAATGAGAATGTATGCACCAGCTGAAATGCTAGAAATTCTGGAAGAACATTCTTGTTACCACAACGTACCTAGGATTGGTATTGAAGATAACTTTGCCTTTCCTGCAATGCAACTCAATATAGCACCAGCTGTAAGCTATGAAGAATGCACTGGTAAGTTTGTGTTAGATATCTAAGAGGCTTATTCTGAGTGTGTTTTAGAAAAGGGTCTTGAAGGGATGGGTGAATTTGGATTGACAGATGGTCATATCGATGGCTTTGATTGGGTTGCAGCAATGACTTCAATGATTGTGAATAGCAATCTGCCAAGCAACTATGAACCTGGAAGATTCCACCTTTTAGCTCTTGGATGCTACTTTGTTCTGCAGCCTTTAATGGTCATGAACTTCTGCGGTCTCACTTGACATGGCGGATCTCCTCCAATTGCACCTCCAGGAGAGGAAGTAGCACATGACGCTCTTTGATTTGCCTTGGTCTCATATTCTCCATGATCTATAATGCTTGGAAATGGAAATAGCATGATTCCATTGGCAAATTGGACAAAAAATCAGAACTTTTCAATTCTGCCAGAAATTTCTGGCTATATGTAAGCTTATTCTGAATACTTGATGAGCAGATTATTTATAAAGATTTTAGCAGATATGATGGCACATCGGTTTCTGAATCAGCAAATTATGCTATCGATGGAGCTGTTATCATGGAGCCTCAATCACTTGTCAATTTTTTCTTCAACAATATGTATCTTTTAGTGCGGTACTTTGGAACACAACTTCCATTTGAAGAATTTGATATTGATCCTGTCAAACTCATGTCCTCAATTACTGTAAAGCATAAAGGACAAGATATCTCTCCTTGTCATTGGCTAGAAGCACCCAGAAAGAACTCAAACCATAAAACACTATTGCTCAAGATGGTTGACTACATTGAGAAGTGTTCAAAGTACATGCCATCTCAAGTCGAGGTTGACTTTGATTTAATGAGAAGAGAAATTGAGGAAGGACAACTGGGAATTGCTCAAAGAAAGAAGAAGAATGATACTCAAGTTCCAAAAAATACTTCTAAGAGAAAACCAAATAATGCTAACAATAGTGGGTACCTTCTATTATATGATTTATTTGCTGAATCTCATTATATTCATATAATCAGATTCATCAAACAAGAAGCAAAAAACAGTTTCCACTCCGGTTTATACAACTCCAGCTGACAAAATGGGAGGAATGATGGCTCATGACCTGGCTGAATTTTATATATTTGAATCACCAGGTAAGAGTATCAAACATATTGCACTTATAAAATGTGCTGAATATAGTATAAGCATCTCAGTCAAAAGGAAAGGAAAAAGCTGTCTTCAGTGATGTAAACATGGCATGTGTCTCACCCTATCTGGTACAATTGTGCACTTATTAATATATTATTCCAGCATAATGAAGAAGATGAGCAGCTAGAAGAAGTACATTTATTTTTTAAACAAATTGTTGTTTATTCTAAAGCAAAAATCTCAGAGCAATACTTCACAAAGTGAATTTGAGGACGATACTCCAGCAAATGCAAAACCCTTACAGAAGATATGGCTTGATCCTAAAGAAGAGCTACAATACGCTGTTTTTACAATGCCAACAATGTCAACTTCAACTCATGAAAATATCCTATCAGATGTCAACATAGATGCTGATGGTCCTACACCATATTTGGGTAAGAAATATTAATTCATATTCCTATTTGTTGACTAAGTTCAAATTGTTCAGGCCCTTTTGCATCAATTAACATCAATACTATTGTTGATATAATTGAGAATATTCAGTATGGTATTGCTGCTTGTATAGAGGAAAAGCAACAGAAGGAATCTCAAACAACTGGAAATATCTGTGCTGACACTTTGCATGCCATTTCAGAGAAACCTGACAGTTGGACAACCACAAAGAAGCTGGCATCATTTTGGACCAATTTTGAATATATTGTCAAACAAGCTCATACTTCAAATCTGGAGACCATGATGATGAAAAGTTGTATAATGTATACATCATGGAAAATCCACACTTGGCTGAAAAACATCATTCTGGAAGTAGATGGACACAAGATGGCACCATGGGTTGCAAATTTGAGCAAACATATCACTATGATCATCCACAATCCTGTCAATCGACCTTCAGAGCTAGTTCTCAAGGCCAAAGATTTTATGTCTAGTGCCAACGATGTGCAGTACATGACTAAACTGCCTCAATTCTGCTTCAGCAAGAACGATTATAGCATTGAGATTAAAGATATTGTCTTTAAAACCGTTCGAGCTTGGTTGAAGGTTCCAAACAAGAACACCAGCTATGTTCAAGAGAGCTTCTTGACATCATTGTGCATTTGGGTGGTATATCCATGTTCTATTTTGATGAAGTTTGGTCGGCATACATTAAAGCTCCAGTATTTCTTATGCCTGGAGCTAACTCAACACAATGCCAGAGTGCTCAATACATTGAAGATGCTGTATGAAAATTCGAAATCTCTTTTCAACAGCATCCTGCTTTTGTTAAATCAATACCTGAGCATCTTCTGCTCAAATATCTTGATCAATATATCTCTGATTGGCACCAAGACTCACAACCTGAGGCAACATCAAGTCAAGAGCATCGAGAAGCAAAGATGGAACTCTTTCTACAGTATCTTATGCGTCTAGTTCCTATTGTCAGCAGCACTCCAGCACAAATTCACCAGGGCAAGGATAACTTGTTGAAGTCCATTATAGCCAATCTAGATTTTTTCTTGCCATTCCGTCAGCTTGCACCTACTATAGTCCATGCAGAAATTGCTATATTTAGCAACAGTCACAAGCTAAAATCACATATCGGCCTATTCAACATGCTATGTTTCCGTGGAGTCTTCTATGGAACTGAATGGTGCAAAACAAATCTCCATTGGTTTGATTGCTATGATGACTGGCTTCAATTCTATGATGATCTTCTCAAGGGAGGCTATACGAAAGATTCTGCTGAGAATTATCTTGTCAATAAAAAGGCTTATGGTCCCCATATGGGAAAAAGTCACAAGACGGATGACATAAAAAGCTATTGGGAAATGAGTCTAGAGCATGAGGAGAAATATCTGGAAATAATTGGAGATAATGATCATTGGGCTCTCTACAAGTTTTCCTGCTCTTTCCAGGTGTTGGCTGGCTTATATCTCTGCTCCTGGTTTTTTTTTTTTTTTTGATCAACAATTTATATAGTGGTGCTCAATGGCAGGCCGCTCGCTGTCTACAAACATGTACACTACACAGCCTGGTTACTAAGTTAACCACTAAAGGACGACCGCCCCCCCAACCAAGACCCTTTGGGCTCAAACGCCTAAACTCCCCAGAGGGCAACCCACCTTGCGAAAACGGTGCATCGGGATAAGGGGAGGAAACCATCGAGGTTTCGCTACGCCCCAAAGTCGTTGATTGCTGTTCGGAGGCCACGCAGCGCAAATGAGATAAGAAGAGCACCACCCGGGAGGTGGCAGGGTGTCTTGAGGCTGACAAGCCAGAGAAGCGCCTGCCCGAAACCAGACGCAGAGAGTTAGCAGCGCTGCAACCCGCTATGATAGCGGCCGCACATGCGATAAAGTGAAGTTGGCACGGGTCGCCAAACCCTTAGGTTCGTGGTGTTAATTCACCCTAAATCCCCCAAAAGGAGGAATAACCCTGCCCGCAATGATTACCCGACACCTGAAGGGTCCCGGTTGAAGCCAAACGCTGTGGGGCTGTACTTCATAAATGATGCAATATCCCTGAGAAAAGGGGGATAGTGTACAGAATATCTATCGCGGCAGCGAAAGAGAACATGCTGGCGAGACTGCAGAGCAGCCCTGCAAGTGCAGCCATGAGGCTCGTTAATCTTGAAGCGACGGTAATACGCTCCAATGGGCGCATGGCCAGTTATACACCGGCAAACGCGGGCGAACTCAGTAATACTGTGTCCGAAGGTTGAAAGCCAAGGTCCCCCATTGAGGTACGATGGCGGTAGCGGCTGCCTGTCAGGCTGTTGGAGCTCTAAGAATTCAGAGCCTTGGTAGGTTGGATCCTGGAACATGAAACTCCACGAATCCAGGACTGAGTGCGCGGCTCGGGAGCATAGCGTGTCTATAGAATTGTCCGTCTTGCGACGTCCAACCCTGACTTTGAGTTCGGTGACGTACTTGTGTGCCTCACCATGGATATCCCACCGCAAAGCAGAGGGAACATAGATAAAGGTGATGCGGCGGAGGTCATCTGCCTCAAACCACTCTTGGAGAGCACAGCAAACTGACAGGCTAAAAGCCTGACCAGAGTGCACGGAAGGGTCGACCGCTTTATGGGCTGAGCCCATAGAGTCAGTAAAGACCATAATATGTTGGCAGTTTGCCTGCTTGACAGCAAGGCGCACTGCACACGAGATGGCATTGAGTTCCGCATCAGGGGCGGTAACTCTGCCAGAGACATAACGAGTCCTTTCGAGCTCACAATGTCCCTTGTAGATGATGGCAGCCAAAGCTGCCTGATACTGATTGGACTGAGGGACGGAACCATCAGTTGCAGCCAGTACTGTTAGTGGGTCAGCCCTCGCTTTTGCGATGAGCTCGTCTAGATATGGTCGCCTATCCTGGGCAGGATCGTGCTCATCAAAGTGGAGACGGTCCGCATAGCGGTCCAGTAACTGATCGCCTGGGTGAGCTTCGGGCGCAAAGGGCTCGAAGCTCTCAGTTAAGGTGTGGACACGTTTGTCCACCTCCATAACGGTGCTCTTGACTTTCCCTTGCATAGCTGGGGTCATCAAGGCGGCTGAGCGGGCATGTGGTGCGGCTCGCTTAAGGAGTCCCTCGCCCATCATGGAGCGAAGAGGGTGAGTGTCTGAGAGGGTAGCGACGCGATACACTGCGCGCGTCACCAGCTTCTTCAGCATGAGATGAACGGGGATGAGACCAGCAAGGGCCTCAAGACCGCCTGTGGGTGAGGTGCGGAAGGCACCAGTAATCCATAGAGCAGCTTTTCACTGCATCCATTTTAGCTGGTTCATCGCACCCTTATTACGGGCGCCATCGAAATACCAGAGACGATAACTGTATGTGGCAATGGGAACCACACATGACCGATATAAGAGGCGGCGCTGTTTAGACGAGAGACCTCTGGTGGAGTTTCTGAGCATGTGCGTGGCCTGCACGGTGGTGAACGCCTTGGTGGCATAGTAGTGGATGTGCTCATGAAACGTGAGCCCGTGGTCACAGTAGAATCCCAGGTACCTCCAATAGGTCTTGGGCTTCAAAGGTGTAGCGCCGGTATGCAGGGCGTACCCCAAATCCAGTGAGGGATTGTAGGTGTCTCGTCGACGTGAAAAGTGAAACAGCTCAGTCTTGTCGTGTTCAAGGACGAGTGCGAAAGCAACAAAGAGAAGGTAGATAATCTTGTAGGCCTTACGCAGGCCCACATTATTATCATCAAGCTGTTTGGATTGGGCCAGAATGGTCCCGTCATCCACAAAGGAAAGCAACGTCGTGTTGAGCAGCGCTGCTTTGATGTAGAAGAGCTTCATTACCGGAGCAATGAACAGCCCAGAAATAACAGGTGAGAGAGCTGAGCCCTGCCTGACACCCACGTCCGCAGACCGCGAGTCGGATTGGAAGGTGTTCCAGCAGTAGACTGTGGAACGACCAACAAGATAGGAGGCAAAGAATTCCACCAGAACCAGTGAGAACCCTTGCTTGCAAAGTACAGCCATGAACATCTCATGGTTGATAGAAGGGAAGAACTGCACGATGTCAAAAGCCAGCGCGCTAGTCTGGAGACCCTTAACCCACCCCGCTCGCACGAGATGAGTCAGAATCAATCCAGCATCCTCAGTTGACCTCTGGCGGATGCTGCCAAGTTGGTTGGGATGGAAGATATCATGCTTGACAGCGTCAAACTGTATCCTATTGGCAATCATCTTTTCGATAAGTTTACCAAAGGTGATGAGGAGTACGATCGGCCTGAAGGCCTTTGGTACATGCATCATGCCAGTGATAAACTTGACTAGACCTCCGTTTCCAAAGGTCCACCCCTCTGCAAGACAGTCCTCATCTGTAGAGACAAAAGAGCAGAAAAGAGCAGGCTGTGGCTGTTCCTTCAAGTGGATCACCTTTGACCCTACATTGGAGTAGGGGACGGAGCGCAGTACAAGATGTTCTGGGTTGATTCGGGACAAGTTGCCAGTGCTGTTCTTGCGGCAGATAGAGAAGGTTATCAATTGAACAAGATAACTGCATTGAAATGATTTAGCAACCCAGAATCAAAGCTATGAGTTAGTGATGTACTTCATATCAAGTTTTGGGTAATTCCTTTTAATGAGTGATAGCTGGCACATACCCTGGTCGATGAAGTCGGCTGAGGTTCTTGTAATGTTGCATTGACCGCTTGAAATCAAATCAGAACCTATATAAAACAACCAATAAATACTCACCTTGGAAGGTTTGAAAGACCTCGATAGGTCTTTCAAAGAATTGGATCCACCAAGTCACAGTGATAGACTCCACAGACATCAAGGTCTAGGACTCTATAGAAGGTCCATCAGCAGAAGAAATGGCTCAGGCAATTGCTTGCTTACTGGGGAATCTCAGTGGGCTCAAGATCATCAAGAACTAACTCTTGCTTGTCGGTTTCCAAAAAGGGATCATCTGATGTGCGTTTGCCCTGCTTTTTATTCTTCTTTGTCAACTCCTTGACCTTCTCAAGCTTGTGATTTTCACTAATCAAGCGAGTCATTAGAATTTAGCATGCTTAAGAGGGCTTAGAGAACTTACACAGCTTGATCAAAAACAAGTTGACGGGCAGGGCTAGTAAAAAAAGGTCAGCAATGGTTTCAGAAAATTGTGGAATGAAGCTTACTTGTGTGATAGCTTGAGCTTCAGAGGTGGCCGCTCGTCATCAGAGACCTCCTCTCTGAAAAATGCAGTTAAGCATAAATAGGCCTTAAACAAAAAGATAACATCACTTACTCAGTCTCATCATCACTAAGGAAAAAAAGAAGCAAGATCAGATAGAGGCAATGTACAAGGAAAACCAGACAAACGTAGACTCAGCTGCCTCCTTGACAGTCTTAGGCTTTGGTTGAAAGGGTGTTTTCAGCGCTTGAGGAAGAGTAGAGCGAGTTGGGGTCTTGGGCAGCACAACCGTTCTGACCTTCTTTGTTGGACTGCGTCTCACACTGGTATGATGTCAGAGATAGTTGGATCAAATACTATTGAATACAACGTACGCTGGTGTCTCATCATCTTCATGCTCCGTTATATCAGCCTGTGGGGATCTCTTTGGAACCCTCTTGCAAGTTTTTCTAGAGCCAGGGTGAGCCTCAGCACAGTTGGAAATTAGAAGCTGCCACTCACGTTGCATCAGCAGTACTATCGGATTTCTTCTTGTTGTAATTGCCACCACGCCTCTGGGTTCTGTGTGCCTTGGTCAATACAAAGTCTGCAAAGCAAGAAGAAACTTACGGAGGCGGAGATATGTAGTCCTCTTCATCACTTGGTAGGTCATCATCTAGGGTATCAGTACCCATATCAGAAGCATTGGTACCAGCCTCAGATGCATTGGCATTACTGCAAATGATCAGCAACGATTGAATAGACAATCAATGAGTTGACTGAAACATACTCTTCACTGCTATCAGCCTCTAACTCTGAAACAATTACAGGTGAGGAGTGCTTTTGACGACAAGTAGAGGGAGCCATAGCAGGAGAAACAGGAAAAGGTGGGCCTGCACTGGCAGAATGTAGTTGCCAATAGGTTGAGTATATATATTGAACTGCAGATCCATAAATGGAATCCTCAAATATGCAATAAAGAAACACTGTCCACATTGTGCACCCCAAACCCCAAAAGAAAAAAAAAACCCTAGAAACTAGCAAAGCAAAGCGGCAAGAGATCAAAACGCATCTCCGCCTACCCTGTGTGCAGCAGCCTCTATAATTTGACAACCCTGAATAGGTGGCATATCAGAAGACAAATTAGAGCCTGATGAATGCTTGTCATTGGCCTGGTGATTGGAAACTGCATGACAAAATTTACCAACATGTTGCTTCTGGTCAATAGGCCATCCCTGAATTTGCAATTTGCAATGGAAAGATGCTTTAATGTCACTGGTCACCCAGAGAAGTTCCAGGATTCCAACATCAGAAAGGCATTCTTTTATTCCGCCATTCAAGATTCTGAGATTCCAACATCAGGAAGGCATTTTATTCAGAAGGACAAACGTGAACGATATGTTGAATCTACCAGATTGGAATCAACTCTAGGCGGTCAATCTGTTTAACAAATGGAGCTGGGTGATCGTAGAGAGGGTGGTTACACAAAGGACTGCCTAAGAGCCAGACTGTCACGACCTGTCCCCGGCTCCTGGCACAATTATCTGGCTCCCAAGGCTGTATCCAGCTTCCGAGGCTTGTGGTAATGAGCCGTGCTCTTCCGGGACACTTCCGAGACATCTGGGAACGAGCCGTGCGCTTCCGAGGCACTTCCGAGGTGAGCCATGTTTCCGGCTCACTCCATTGTGTCTCCCAGCCATTGTCCCATTGTCCTTCATTGTTCTCCTTGTCCCGGCTAAGTTATCTATTACATAATCATGGTCCATTATTCTACATAGCATAAATACCCATGTACAGTAGTAGATTCCTCAGTCGGAATATCGAACTCGACATACCCCCTTTGCTCTAGTTCACTGCTGGAATCCGGCTCCTCCCTGTTCATCCGAAATCAGGGACACCCAGACGTTGCGTGGTGGCGCAGCTGCCCTTTCCGTCAAGCTGAAGCCAAGTCCCCACCCCATCCGGCACGGTCGTTACACAGACGATAGTGGGAATAGGAGTGATAAAGTAGTTGGCTGAAGAATTGAAGGATACAAAAGTACAACCTGTGTCAAATGTGGACCGTATTGTCAAAGGGCAATCATATGTAGTGCCACAGGAATGGGTGTCTGGGAGCAACAATTCATTCCATAGAAGCTTAAAGCCCTGCTGATGGTAGCGCTCCCAGAACATCTCAGCTTCTACCTGAGAAAGCAAATGACAGAAGTCAGTACGCAAACTGTTTTTGGAAAATAGGATGGCAGGGTTTGAGAGCCCAAGTCCTTGGGCTGAAAGCTTCGGATAGGCTGAGAATATGCCAGATGAGGTGATTGCATTCATGGCGTAGGAGGAAGGTGAATAGAAGATGGCTTGGATTGGGGAACAGGTGGGACAAGCCATATGAATTTGGATTCTATGTCCCCTTTTGTCACGGTAGACAGAAGAATTGATGATGGCATAGTTGAATGTAAAGATCAAGAGAGAGTCAAAGGCGTAGCTGGTGTTGCAAAGGAGGTCGTGTGCAAATTGTCTTTCAGAGCGATAGGGAACCACAAAGTTGATGTTCCTTGGTTTGAAGTGCATGGATGCAGGCAAAGTGGTGAGAAGAGCGCAGGAACCTGAAATAATGGCACCATAGTGCTGGAGCAAAGGCTGAACATCCCGAAAATTGAGACCAAAGGATGCCAGAACTCTTTGAACACAAAATTGCTGATATGCGGCAGCTTGAGCAGCAGTGGCGGGATGTAAGAGCAAAACTCTTTAATCCATTGAAAGGGAGGTGGCTGAGGATTGAGTGGGTTAACTCAAGCGACAGACGGTCTAAATTGTTCTGGAGAACAATGGAGGATACTATAAAGCAAAATGTAAGGCTACACTTTGAAGGCCGGATGACGTCGACACATACCCCTTTCGGTAACGCTGAAACCAAGTTTGGCGGCAAGCACCTCCAGGTGTGCGAGCACTAACTGACGGCTGTTGGCATTGACAGAGCCAATATCGAGGAGTTCCAGAGAGGAGTTTCTCCACAAATTAGGTGATGGATGAGACTGGCAGGGTATATCAAATAGAGGACTGGCAGCAATGAATGGCAGGATGATTTGTGGTTAAGAGCAAGACTACAGCCACAATAAATAGTGGTGCCATATCTCTCTGTTGCTATAGAACCCAGGCTCCGAATGTCGGCAGATTTCAATGGGGGTTCACCCCAGATTTATGAACAAATTGAGGCACTAATAAATGGCAAACTGTGTAGGACCCAGAAATCAGAGATGGCAAAACACGCTAAACAAGCGGCTAATATATGACTGATGACCCTGCATCAATACTTGTAAGGGCATCAAATCCTCTTCTCATATTAACTGCTGACGCTGCTCATTCAGACTCCCCACCTTCCAATTTCTGCCATGGATGAATACTATGACATAAATGCGGCTAGTAAGTTGTCTATTGATTTGGTAGATGGAGGACTGAAAGATGTTACACAGAAACATCTCTGGAAAAAATGTCCAAAGAATGCACGCCAAACCATCTTCAGCTCTGCAAGTTTGACATGGTATGTGCTCTTGTTTCAGAGAAAATAGATGTGCAACTCACTGACAGCATTTAGGAGGAGGGGCTGCATCATTTTGTACAGCCTACATATACTGAATATCCTCAATGCTGGAAGCTGACTTACTTGGACAACAATGGTGGAATTGAAGAAGTTGTCTTGCGAGTCCAGGGCGTTATAACTGGCAGCGCCATGCCTCCTATTAAGTGGCCATTCAAGATGTAAGCAAACAGACTGCAGCATATATGAATTAATGGTTTATGACAGGGCTTATAGCAAACCCTGTCAGTGGGCATACTTCCGCCAGTCAGCAGCCTTGACAGGTTTTGGATCAGAATCCTTTGCTGATGCAATAAGATGCATTGAAGAAATCCATAATATTTTTGCTCACCATTTTCCTGAAGGATCTCTTGAACCGTGGAATGCTTCAAGCAGTGCTGGGTATCTTACTATCAATATGGCGAACCGTTACTTCACTCCTCGCTCTCAGGCATCTCCAGACCAAATCATCTCCTTCTCTTTTGCCATTGATCCTGATGGCATTCTTGCAGCATGCACTACTGATGGAACTCTGGTCCACACCAAAGATAATTCTGTGGAGTATTACGAGCGCTATCAGGAGGGTGAAAAACAATGGTTAGTAACATAGCCCATAAGTTCTGCTGGTGGACTAATTGTGTTGATTTTTTATTCAGATACGAGGCCATCGATCTAATCAAGTTTTGCATAGGAGATATAGCAGAGGCTCAAGTATCCTTTGTAGTCATTTGTTTAAAGGAGCAGAAGTACAAGATGCTCATAGTTATGTGGGCATTGACCTTGCTTGATAGCTCACCACTCCGGGTAAGCTCAAGAACTGCAGATGTCATTCACCAATATAGCTGACTAAATGCAAACATAGAATGCTGCCATTGCCCGAAATCGCAGTACTTTGTGGTCCCCCACAGAGTGCTATAGGACTCCACTGGACTCCAGTGGAGTTGGCATATTATGCAGTGGAGTCCAGTGGAGTCCAGTGGAATTATACTGGAGTTCAGTGGACTCCAGTGGACTCCAGTAAGAAGGTATAGTGGAGTTCAGTGGAGTCCAGTGGAGTCCAGTAAGAAAGTATACTGGACTCTACTGGAGTGTAATACTGGAGTCTTAGTGGAGTCTTACTGGACTCCACTGGACTCCAGTATATGTATCAAAATAGACTACTAACCAGTACCTATTACACATCAGAATAGATAATAGTCTGTTGGACCATTCCCCAAGTCCAACATATAGAATATGTAACAAGATGCTTAACAATCAATTGTTTTTAGGAAAAAACATGTAGAGCACCTTTGGCCGACCCTGAATCAAGTTATTTGATGTCATTAGCTGCTCTGCTTGGCAAGAAAAATGCAAAATACTGAAAAAGTAGATTACTTTTGCAAATTTTGGCATTATTTGGCTTATATCTTGTCATTAATAGAGCCAAATACCATCACTCAAGTGGATTCAGGATCATCATTTATTGCAATTATTTTCTCCTAAAAAGAAAATTTCTCACAGTCATGTGACCTGCATATCTCATATTGTTAGCACCCCTAGTCCCTGTGTAGATAGAGCACATTTTGGCAAAATCCAATTTGTCACATGTGACTCTGATATTGATGTCATCAGCAAACTTGATAGCTTTATTACTTTTCATCAATGCCAAGTCTGGGCCTAGCAATCATATATTTATTAATTGTTTCTATTTGAGGCCATAACATCAAAGTTTCAGAAGCTGACTCTGAAGGAATAGGCAAATAACAAGTCATGTGACTGGCCATCAATCTTGGCATCAGTCTTCTATGACTATAACATCTCTCTGCATTGTTCACTGGACTCCACTGAAGTCCTATAGGAGTCCAGTGGAAGATGGACACTCCACTCCAGTATACTCCAGTGAACTCCAGTAGACTTTGGGTGGTGACTCCAGTGGACTCCAGTGAGCTCCACTGGAGTCCAGTAGGCACTTTTGGCTGGTGTTCCTGCTAATAGATTTCTACCAGACTCCACTGGAGTCCACTGGAGTCCTATAGGGATATGTGGGGGAGTACAAAGACCTCCCGAAATTGAGTCAAGAACCAGAGCATAATATCAGCCACACTTAAATGGAAAGTAGGATATCAGGATGAGGAGGTCAAGAAGATGGAGAGTAAGATTCAGCGGATGAGAATTGAGTAGAATATAGAAGGGCTTTAATTGGATATGGTTGGAGGAGCCATATATTTGAATTAAAATTTCAAGAAAATCAACTTCCAGGTCAAGGGTGGAGATTAATTCAGCCAAATGGAGAAACCAACATCAGAAATACTTTCTGCAAAATACTCCTTAGGTGATTGTCAAGTTGTTCTCTACCTCTTGCCAGCACATTGAGAAATGTCGCCAAACAGCAGTGAGTCTCCCATCTAAAGTCGCTATTCAAATGCTCACAGATGCCTATAGAAGCCCTATGTGAAGCATATAGCAATGATGAGGACAGAGCAGGAAATCCTGCTTTTGATGCTGTTCAGCAGGATTTGCACATCACGGTTGAAGAAATTGCAGCAAGCTATCTTTTGGGACCTGCCAACATTCTCCTTGCGGTCATGGGTATTAGCCATGCTATAATCTCTGGCTCTTATGCTCTCCTTGTCTTCTTTCATGGCACATTTATCCCTCAAGATCTCGATATCTATGTTCCTGTGCAGTGGATACATATCCTCAAGGCATATATTGTGGAGAGAGGATGGAAGAAGAATGACGACCACAAAGACACAGCTTATGACATGGCCAGTGTTCTTGACATTCTGCTCTTCAAGCATCCTCAAAGCAATCGGACCATCAATGTTATCATATCCCGCACAAGCTCTGCCATTCAACCTATTGTAGAATTTCATTCTACTCTGGTTATGAACTATATAGCCTCGTATGGAGTGGTGTGTTTATATCCCACATTGACACTCATGGGAAAGGGGATAATCAGGGTTCAAACTGACAAAACTCGTCAAGGCTTTGACAAGTATCGACAACATGGATTTGATCCTTTGCACCCGAAGCTCACCCAGGCGATCGGTTACTGGACCGCTATGCGGACCGTCTCCACTTTGACGAGCGCAATCCTACCCAGGATAGGCGACCATATCTAGACAAGCTCATCGCGAAAGCGAGGGCCGACCCTTTAACAGTACTGGCTGCAACTGATGGTGCTGTCCCTCAGTCCAACCAGTATCAGGCGGCTTCGGCAGCCATCATCTACAAGGGACATCATGAGCTCAAAAGGACTCGTTATGTCTCTGGCAGAGTTACCGCCCCGGATGCAGAACTCAATGCCATCTCGTGTGCAGTGCGCCTTGCTGTCAAGCAAGCAAACTGCCAACATATTATGGTCTTTACTGACTCTATGGGCTTGGCCCATAGAGCGGTTGACCCTGGTGTGCATTCTGGTCAGGCTTTTAGCCTGTCAGTTTGTTGCATTCTTCAAGAGTGGTTTGAGGCAGATGATCTCCGCCGCATTACCTTTGTCTACATTCCATCTGCTTTGCGGTGGGATATCCATGGTGAGGCACACAAGTATGTCACCGAACTTAAAGTCAGGATTGGACGTCGCAAGACGGACAACTCCATAGGCGCGCTACGCTCCTGAGCCGCGCACTCAGTCCTGGATTCGTGGGGTTCCACTTTCCAGGATCCAACTTACCGAGGCTCTGAATTCTTAGAGCTTCAACAGCCTGACAGGCAGCTGCTACAGCCATTGTACCTCAATGGGGGACCTTGGCTTTCAACTTTCGGACACAGTATCACTGAGTTTGCTCGCGTTTGCCGGTGTATAACTGGCCACGCACCCATTGGAGTGTATTACCGTCGCTTCAAGATCAACGAGCCTCACGGCTGCACTTGTGGGGCTGCTTTGCAGTCTTGCCAGCACGTCCTCTTTCGCTGTCACGATCGCTACTCTGTGCATTACCCCCACTTTCTTGGGGATATTGCATCTTTTATGAAGTACAACCCCATGGCGTTTGGCTTCAACCAGGACCCTTCAGGTGTCGGATAATCGCTGCAGGTGGGGTTATCGGACCTTAGGGTTCGGAGACCTGTGCCCGTTTCACTCCTTCGCGCTTGCGGCCGCTATTATAGCGTGTCGCAGTGCCGCTAACTCTCTGCGTCTGGTTTCAGGCAGGCGTATCTTTGGCTTGTCGGCCTCAAGACACCCTGCCACCTCCCAGGTGGTGCTTTTCTTATCTCATTTGCACTGCATGGCCTCTGAACAGCAATCAACGACTTTGGGGCGTAGCGGAACCTCGATGGTTTCCTCCCCTTATCCTGATGCACCGTTTTCGCGAGGTGGGTTGCCCTCTGGGGAGTTTCAGCGTTTGAGCCCAAAGGGTCTTGGTTGGGGGGGCGGTCGTCCTTTAGTGGTTAACTTAGTAACCAGGCTGCGTAGCATACGTGTTTGTAGATAGCGAGCGGGCTGCCATCGAGCACCACTATATAAATTGTTGATCAAAAAAAAAAAAACATGTATTTGATCTTCAAGCATCAACATCTGCCTGGGCTGACCTTCCTGGACATCAGTGCAAGGTTGACTATATGTGTCCAGTGACTATATGAAATCTTCATGACTATGGAATGGTGTTTATTCCTTTCACTCAATGCTCTCATCAGCTTGAAGCACATGAAGACAGTTTGGTATGGAAGAATCCCATCAAGTGTGGAGGAAATGAAATGGTTAAAGATATTGGCTATATGGTATCTGCAATGGGAGAATATTGTGAGAATCTCATCAATGATTTGGTGCTGGTCTTGCTAATGATTTAATATTTAGGGCGTTCACTTTAGAGAAAGGAAAATTATTTCATAGAAGGAATAGCAACATGAGATATTGATCTTTATCAATTGGAGCAATATAGTTCTTCTTTACACCATCAAGCTACTTTTCAGAACAAAAAAAGTCTACATGTGGAACGGTCAGAACTTGATAAAAACTCACCACTACATAAGTCCTCCAACTTCAAAATTGTGCCAATTTTCTTCAGTCATTATCTTCAAACTCTGAGGATTCCTCAAGCTCATATGCGCTGCTAGAAGACAAATCAGCAGGGCACTTTGAACATGCACAACAAATATACAGACGGAAAAATCTCATCAACAATGAACCGTCCATCTTGCTTAAGTTGTGATGTGAAGTAGTTCTGGACATCAGGAATATGGCTGCTATAGAAAGAAATATGGTGGAGGTATGGGCATATTGAAAAGAGGAAATGAAAGAAGTCGATGCAATAGCGGATGGATTTGATATGTCCAAAGAGCCCAAATTCTTTCAACATCAAAGAAGAAGAACTGAATAAAGTTTTGGGCTTTCGAGAAGGTTGAAATGGAAACTGGAGGGTTTGAAGATGAGGACAATGAGTTATAAAACTATAAAAGGATGTTGTAGTTGCAGTGGGACGCTGTGTAGCCAAAGGGGTAAAACGAGATCCAAGAGTAAAAGATGTAAGAGATGGCCAAGAAGAAGAAAGAGATGTGAACACAGAATTGGATAACCTGGTCAAGTTCATTAAAGCATTAAAGCAAAATGTCTCCATAGAAGAAAATACGGCAAGACAATGAAGAGAGGAATCTTCAAGAAAATTATTAATTTCAAAATTGTTCCAGTCAAAACCGGCTTCCATGTCCCAAGTAACATCAAAGCTAATTTTCTTCAATGGAGCCAGTGGCATATTTGTAGCCATGGACTTGAACAGGTTCTTGATGGATTCGTTGTTGGAATTTAAATCCTCTTGTATGAAATAGATTGTTGATAGCTTTGGTGCAGAGAAGGAGGGAAAAAAGGCAAGCTGGCAGATATCCTGATAGGTATAATGCATTTCCTGCAAGGATTGAAAGGTGTGTATAATGCCAGTAAATTCATATTGAATGCCTGAATCTAAAATGTCCATATCATTGTAGATAACATGAAGCACCTGAAGACTTGATATTGTTGATAAAGTCTTGCACAGATTGGAAGGATTAGTGGTGCAGTGCAAAGTGAGGTAGAGCTCATGAAGAGAGCTCCAACAAGCACATGAAGAAAACAAGAGATCAAAGTATATGGAGGCATAATTGAAGGGGTTGAATTCATAGTTGCTATCAATTTCAAGAAGGGCTAGGCGATGGTGGTTGAAGAGGAGGTTCCCAACATGAGCATAGAGGGCTGATGAGTTGCGATCTGAGCGAATTTTAACATTGATGAGTGATGGAACTACAAGAAGAGCGCAAAGGCTCTCAGTCTCAACCGTTACTCCAATTGTCAGAGAGGTGAGATGGCGGAAAGTTGATTTAGAAAGGTGTCCTTCAGCAAAGGCGATCTGGACAATCTGTGCGGCTTGTGGCAGATCTTGAGGTGCACTAGAGCAGGAAGTGTCAAGCTTGACCTTTCGCATGTGGGGGTGTTCCAACTCCTCTGCGCCAGGACCGGACCATGTTACATGGGTCCACCTAAAGGAGCTGCTCAAGGACAAGCACGTCCTTGCGCTCTTCATCATGTTGGCCAACGCTTGCCTTCGGGTGGGTCACTGGCTGCGTATATTCAAGGAGTCACTATCGGTTATCATTCCAAAGCCGAACAAGCCCTCCTATGCTGTGCCAAAGGCTTTCAGGCCGATCGTACTCCTCATCACCTTTGGTAAACTTATCAAAAAGATGATTGCCAATAGGATACAGTTTGACGCTGTCAAGCATGATATCTTCCATCCCAACCAACTTGGCGGCATTCACCAGAGGTCAACTGAGGATGGTGGTTTGATTCTGACCCATCTCGTACGTGCGGGGTGGGTTAAGGGTCTCCAGACTAGCGCGCTGGCTTTTGACATTGCGCAGTTCTTCCCTTCTATCAACCATGAAATGTTCATGGCTGTTCTTCGCAAGCAAGGATTCTTGCCAATCTTGGTGGAGTTCTTTGCTTCTTATCTTGTTGGTCGGTCCACAGTCTACTGCTGGAACACCTTCCAATCCGACTCACGGTCCACAGACATGGGTGTTGGGCAGGGCTCAGCTCTCTCGCCTGTTACCTCAGGGCTTTTCATTGCTCCGGTGATGAAGCTATTTTATATCAAGGCGGCACTGCTCAACATGATGCTTCTCTGGTTTGTGGACGACGGGACCATTCTGGCCCAGTCCAAACAACTTGATGATAATGATGTGGGCCTGCGTAAGGCCTACAAAATTATCTACCTTCTCTTTGTTGCTTTTGCACTCGTCCTTGAACATGACAAGACTGAGCTGTTCCACTTTTCCTGTTGACGAGACGCCTACAATCCCTCGCTGGATTTGGGGTACGCCCCACATACCGGCGCTACACCTTTGAAGCCCAAGACCTATTGGAGGTACCTGGGATTCTACTGTGACCGCAGGCTCACGTTTCATGAGCACGTCCGCTACTATGCCACCAAGGCGTTCACCACCGTGCAGGCCATGCGCATGCTCGGCAACTCTACTAGAGGTCTCTCGCCTAAACAGCACCGCCTCTTATATCAGTCATGTGTGGTTCCCATTGCCACATATGGCTATCGTCTCTGGTATTTCGATGGCGCCTGCAATAAGGGCGCGATGAACCAGCTAAAACAGATGCAGCAGAAAGCTGCTCTATGGATCACGGGCGCTTTCCACACCTCCCCTACAGGCGGTCTTGAGGCCTTGGCAGGTCTCATCCCCGTCCACCTTATGCTGAAGAAGTTGACAACGCGCACAGTGTACCGTGTCGCCACCCTCTTGGACACCCACCCTCTTTGCTCCATGATGGGCGAAGGACTCCTCAAGCGGGCTGCGCCCCATGCCTGCTCAGCCGCCTTGATGACCCCAGCTATGCGAGGGAAGGTCAAGAGCACCGTCATGGAGGTGGACAAGCGTGTCCACACCTTAACTGAGAGCTTCAAGCCCTTTGCACCTGAAGCTTGCCCAGGCGATCTGTTACTGGACCGCTATGCAGACTGTCTCCACTTTGACGAGTGCAATCCTACCCAGGATAGGTGACCATATCTCGATGCGCTCATCGCGAAAGCGAGGGCTGACCCACTAACAGTACTGGCGGCAACTGATGGCTCTGTCCCTCAGTCCAACCAGTATCAGGTGGCTTTGGCTGCCATCATCTACAAGGGACATCGCGAGCTCGAAAGGACTTGCTATGTCTCTGGCAGGGTAACCGCCCTGGATGCAGAACTCAATGCCATTGCATGTGCAGTGCGCCTTGCTGTCAAGCAGGTGAACTGCCAACATATCATGGTCTTTACTGATTCTATGGGCTCAGCCCATAAAGCAGTTGACCCCTCTGTACACTCCAGCCAGGCTTTTAGTCTGTCGGTCTGTCGTGCTCTCCAAGAGTGGTTCGAGGTGGATGATCTCCGCCACATCACCTTCATCTACGTTCCATCCACTTTGCGGTGGGATATCCATGGTGAGGCTCACAAGTACGCCACCAAACTCAAAGTCATGGTTGGACATCGTAAGACGGACAACTCTATAGACGTGCTGCGCTCTCGGGCTGCGCACTCAGTCCTGGATTCGTGGAGTTCCACTTTCCAGGATCCAACTTACCGAGGCTCTGAATTTTTAGAGCTTCAACAGCCTGACAGGCGGCCACTACAGCCATCGTACCTCAATGGGGGACCTTGGCTTTCAACCTTCGGACACAGTATCACTGAGTTCGCTCGTGTTTGCTGGTGTATAACTGGCCACACGCCCATTGGAGCGTATTACCGACACTTCAAGATCAATGAGCCTCACGGCTGCACTTGCAGGGCTGCTTTGCAGTCCCGCCAGCACATCCTCTTTTGCTGTCGCGATAGATATTCTGTACACTATCCCTGTTTTCTCGGGGATATTGCATCGTTTATGAAGTACAACCCTACGGCATTTGGCTTCAACCAAGACCCTTCGGGGGTTGGATGATCGCTGCGGGCGGGGTTATTCCTCCTTTTGGAGGATTTATCGGTGAATTGACACCCTCGAACCTTAGGGTTCAGAGACCTGCACCCACAACTATTTCTTTGCGCTTGCGGCCGCTATTGTAGCAGGTTGCAGTGCCGCTAACTTTCTGCATCTGGTTTTGGGCAGGCGCTTCTCTGGCTTGTCGGCCTCAAGACACCTCGCCACCTCCCGGTGGTGCTGTTCTTATTTCATTTGCGCTGCATAGCCTCCAAACAGAGATCGACAACTTTGGGGTGTAGCAGAACCTCGATGGTTTCCTCCCCTTATCCCGATGCACTGTTTTCGCGAGGTGGGTTGCCCTCTGGGGAGTTTCGGTGTTTGAGCCCAAAGGGTCTTGGTTGGGGGGGCGGTCATCTTTTAGTAGTTAACTTAGTACCCAGGCCGTGCAGCGTACATGTTTGTAGATAGCGAGCGGCCTGCCATCGAGCACCGCTATATGAATTGTTGAACAAAAAAAAAACAAAAACAAGACCTTTCGCATGTGCTGCGCATATTGTTTGAAACGGTCCCAGTCATGAAGAGAAAGGGGTTGCTCAGAGAGCCTTAACTAAATGAACCATTGGTCAAGATATGATGCTATAACAAATAACTGTGGCAATCTTACCTCTTGTATTTCACCTCTACACCCACAATCTGATGAGCATCGAGATGGGGGAGAGCTGTAGTCATCATCCCAGGAGGCAATATGGAGCAAGGCAAAGAGAGGGGAGAGATGGATCTGGAAGCGATGCCACAACTTGGCAAGAGCTGGTTGACAGAATATGGAAGAGACCAGTGCAATATTCAATAAATATGAAGGCTGATAAACATTGACAGAATTGACAATGCGAGCTACAAGCTCAGGAATGGATAGAGCAGAATGTGCCATTGGAAGAGAGGCAGGCATAGATAATGAAGTTCTGGGTATGGTGAGTCTGTGCTAATGATGCTAGATTGGTTCAGTACCACATCCAACACCACAAAAGCAGGCCAGAAAATGTAGGATCTGATGGTCTGAGACAGAGATGGATGGTAGATGGAAGTAAGAGGCAAAAGACAACTTAAAATGCCATCAACCAGCAAGTGTTTGTTTTGAGACTCCACAACAAACAGAGAATCTCATAAACGGTAATGGCAATAGTGGAATTCTGTTGGAATATAAGACATTTTTTTATGATTGAGGTATGATAATATACAGACAAAAATATAACTACTGATTAAAAGAGGCAGGTGAGACATGAACTCTTGGGGAGAGGAGGAGGAGGAGAAAGGCATTCAAAGGTGATGGGCAGGTGGGTGTCAGCATCCAGGGCCATTGTTGGATGTGATTGGTGGTTGTGGATGGATAAGAGGGATGGGGGCTGGTAGTTGGAGGGGCGAGAAGCATCATTGGTGGTGGCGGAAGTCGAGAGGGAGGGCAGGAGGGTGAGAAGAGGCAGGCAGGGCAGAGAACAACCGCAAATGAGACCAAACTTTATGAGTTCTTATGTAAGTAAGACTTGGTCTTTCAACCTGGGTCACAGAGATCATTTTACTTTCCCACATTATGGTCATCCATGCTTTTTTTCCCACAGTAAGTATTACATTGATGGCATAGCTACATTTTCAATAGTTCACTACATTTTTACTGGCTATTGTAGTAATGCCCTTCTTGCCCTCTGCAAAATCAAAATCACCAACCTCCCTTGCTTACTGCAGCCCTCTCTCACCCTTCCAACCTAACCCCCAGCACCATCCAACAACAGCCCTGGTGCCCAAATGATCCTGGACTTCACAGTTCAGCACCATTCATGCTTGTTCAGCCACCACTGCCTGCCCCTCTTGCCCCACGACCACCTGCTTGCCCTCCTCACCCTTTGCCTCTCGCCCCTCTCCACAGGCCTCAAAAATAAAGAATGACAGCGAACCAACATGCCCCTTCTTACCCTTCCCCCCTCACTCTCGACTTCCACCACCACCACCCCCTCTTCTTGCCCCTCTGATGCCGCTTGCCCATCCCAATGGCCTTCAAGGATGCCCAATGATGCCAAACACAGAGGTTGGGTGATGTTCATGCTCATTCTGTGTCCTGCCTGCCTGCCCACCTAGCACCACCTGCCTCTCACTTTCCACCCCCACTACTGCCCCTTCTTGCCCCTCTGACACCCCTCACCTGTTCCAATGGCTGCCAAATACAAGGAATGACACCAAACACAGAAGTTCAGTGGCATTCACATGGTTCTCTGCCCTGCCTGCCCCATCTCGCCCCCCTACCCTTGCTCTTGCCTTCCACCACCACCCCCTCCTCTCACCCCTCCAATACCCCTCACCTATCCAAACAGCCCTCAAAGACAATGAACGATGCTGAACACAGAGGTTGGGTGTCATTCATGCTCATTCTGTGTCCTGCCTGCCTGCCCATCTAGCACTGCCCGCCTGTTACCTTCCACCACCACCACCCCCTCCTCTTGCCCTCTGACACCTGTTGCCCATCCAAACGGCCCTCAAGGACGCTGAACAATGCCAAACACAGAGGTTCAGTGTCGTTTGTGCTCGTTCTGTGCCCTGCTCACCTGCCCATCCAGCACCGCCCACCTCTCGCCTTCTGCCACCACCACCCCCTCTTCTTGCCCCTCTGATGCCCCTCACCCATCCAAACAGCCCCTGAAGAGCCCCAATGACAACAAATGACACCAAACACAGAGGTTCAGCAGCATTTATAGTCGTTCTGTGCCCCACCTGCCCCTTCTCACCCTTCTCCCCTCCCTCTTGCCTTCCACCACCACCACCTCCCTCTTCTTGCCCCTCTGATGCCCCTTGCCCATCCAAATGGCCCCCAAAGAGCCCTGATGACAGCAAACGATGCCAAAGCTCTCATCCTCTAAAAAAGTTCACTTTCAGAACATCATGAAATAGAATAGATATATATTGAGAATAATTATGTGAAATACATGTTCCAGGAAGCAAAGGCCAAGTCATGAGTATGAATGAGAGAACACCATTGTCAAGTCACAGAGGTGGTTGTTGTTGACTTGTGGAGGCTGTCATCAAGTCGCACAACATGATGATGAACTGGTGGGGTGGAGTAAGTAATGGAAGGAGGGATTAGGGTCAGTGACACACTATGCTGGGTCTTCCACTGCTCAGGTCTCCCTTGTGGTCCTTCTCTCTATCCAGCTCTTCCATAACCCTCATCGGAGGGCATGGCCATGGAGATGTTGGACCTGACATTGATCTGTAGAGGCGGTCATTGAGTTGTTGGAGCTGATATTGAGTTGTGGGGGACTGACATTGAGTCATGAGGGAGCGGCTTCCAGTTACTGTGGCCAATGTTGAATCAGCAGGCCAGCATCAAGACATGGGGCCTAGTATCAACTTGTGTGATGCAACAGAGAACTAGCAGATGAGTAAGGAAGAGTGGAAGAAGAGGTAGTCACTCACTCACTGTGTTGGGCGTTCAGTCTCCAGCTACTCAGGTCTCCCTTTGCCTTTCTCCTCCTCCATTCAGCTCTTCAAAATGTGCCCTGACCTTCATTGGAAGAACAGGTGCATGGTGTAGGTATCTATAGTAGAAGAGGGAGAGGAGGAATGGTGATAGTAGCAGCAGAAGAAAGAATGCGATGATGTATCATGCGATTATGGCCAGCACAAGTCACCTAATCACTTACCTCTATAGGAATGTTACTGTCTACAAATGACATAGTATTCACATACTCTACATTATATTTATGGGTACTGTATTTTCTCCTGTATTTTACATTAATTGCACAAGTTATTTCATGAGAATTGAATAAGAATTGACAGAGATATGGAATTTGCAAGATGAGGTGAGCAGCTGTAGTGGCTTTGTTTGTTTAGCCAAACATATGACGCACAAAAACTCTCAGGAGTTTTCGTGCGTCATAGCTGTCAAACTCTGCTCACATGACCTAGCAAGTCACATGACCTTCTACTACAGAAACAGTGTCTCTATATCTCTGCAACAGCTGCAGCTACAGCTCTGAAATTTTATACACTATGAGACAATATTCAGAGAAGCTTACATAATAAATTTCAGATTTTCAGGGGTGCTGTGGCATGAGATATTGCATGTTTTAAATGCAGCAAACCCGCACCTCCATATCTCAACACCTACTGATGCTACAGGTCTATAATTTTGGGGCCAACATTATCTATATTATATATACCTGTTTACAAAATTTCAGGTCTGTTGATGTTCTTGATGCCAAGATATTGCAATATGTGCATTGCTTTAAATGCAAAAAACCAGCACCTCTATATCTCAACAGCTACAGATGCTACAAGTCTATAAATTTGAGGGTATTATCAACCATATTACATCTAACAGTGTACCAATTTTCAGGTCTGTTGATAATCTGGATGCCAAGATATTGCAATATGCACATTGTTTTAATGCAACAAACCTGCACCTCTATATCTCAACACCTACTGATGCTACAGGTCTATAAATTTGAGGCTATTATCAACCATATTAGATATACATCTGTACTGACTTTCAGGTCTGTCAATAGTCCAAGTGCCAAGATATTGCAATATGCGCATTTTTGAGTTTTTTGGTGCAAACCAGCAATTTAAATATGCAGCCATGAATAATCAGTGTGCATCTATGAACTCTACATTTGCTAAAGACCTTCTGTATCCTACATAATGCTGCCAAGGTGTTCCAGTGCTCTGGTCCTTGCCAGGGGTAGAGATTTGAGTGCACATTTTCAGCTATTTTTTAGAAATCAGCACTATTTAGTCAATTGTGCACACAATTCTGTGCATGATACTGATATTTTGGGACCAATATAACTGAACATTATGACTCCTCATTAATGCAGATTTGTTTTAGCTAGGGGATGTCTGGGAGAGAGGCCAGTGAAGCCACATTTTCATATTTTTAGGGGTGTGCAGCATTAATTTGACTGTAGATCTACCAAATCTGGGAATTTTCCCATGCTCAAGACCTCTACTGAGAGTTATGAATATTTCATGATTTATGATATTTTTAAATTAAAATTAAAATGGCCCAGAAATAATTGAAATATGCCAGCATTTGTCACAACCCATCCCCTGCTCCTGGCTCAATTATGCAACTTCCAAGGCTGTTATCTGGCTTCTGAGGCTCATGGTATTGAGCTGTGCACTTTCAGATGCTTCTTAGACATCCAGGAATGAGCTCTGAGCTTCCAGAATGCTTCCAACATGTGCCATGTCTCTAGCTCACCCCATTGTGCCTCCAAGCCATTGTTCTATTGTTCTCCATTGTTCTTATTGTCTTGGCTGAGTTATCTATTATATAATCATAGTATGTTATTCTACATGGCATAAATACCCATGTACAGTAGTTGATTCCTCAGTCAGAATATCAAACTTGCCCCATTTCTTAGAGTGCAGAAGAATTAATAAAAGAATAAATAGGACAGCTAAAGATATGAATCAAAATGGAACTTGTAATTGCCATGCAAAGCAATGGCCCACAATACCAAGTGGATGTTTGGTGTCGTTCGTCGTCCTGGGTGGCCATTTGGACAGGGGAGGGGTGTCAGAAGGGGGAGAGGAGGTGGTGGTGGTGATGGAGGGTGAGACCTGGGCGGTTGAGGGTGCAAATGCCAAACATATGTGTTCGGCGTCCTTTGTTGTCATCAGGGCTCTGTGGAGGCCTGTTGGATAGGCAAGAGGAGGGGGGGTTGTGGGCAGAAGTCAAGAGGGAGGGGGGAAGGGCGAGAAGGGGCAGGTGGGGCACAGAACGACTGTGAACGCTGGGCTCATTCATGCACCGGGGTGTTGTGGACACGCTGGGTTGGAT